ACCTGAGTCAAAGTCAGACGCTTAACCAACTGAGCCACTCAGGCACCCCTGGATATTTCTTATATATAATTCTTTTCCATTTGATTTTAGCAGTTGAGAATGAGTGAATTCTCTTTTCAGAGTTCTTTCAGCTATGTTTTTATTCATTCTTCAATTCTTTGCAGTGCAGGGGTAAGGAGTAAGGTAACTAATGTGCCCAACACGTGTCAACCAGGATAGGCACCAAGACTGGATATTGATTGAATCTTGTGCCTCCTTTTTTTAGTGGCCTCTGTCTGAGGTCATACTACTTCGGTGTGTTTTCCTTTGGTAGCTCACCAATACCGTGTTCCATAATTTTGTATTTATATTCAGTGTGTGTTAGAATGGAGACAGAAGTTTGACACTAGTTTTATCAGTTCCCATAATTGAAAATAGTGGCAAAATATAATTGCTGGTATTCTGCATTTTCTTTCATTAAGGGGATACCGTTGCCTTGGTGATGCTTTTTGGAGAAGGGAGAGGGTTTATAAATTTACTACTTTGACAGGAGAATGAGTTAGTGTTAAATCATCTCGTATGTTTTACTACTTGCTTATTCTATAAACTGTCAAACCTGTATGTCCTCTTGGGGTTTTAATTAGCTGGATTAAAATACAGCTTATATTGAAAAATGGAATATGCATAAGATAAGAAAGACTATAGGAAGATAATAGGGCACCCTTTTAGACATTTCCCACGTAAGACTGAGCACTAACATAATCTGTTTGGTTTCTAGGTGGACTATCTGTGCTCGAGTTACCAACAAAAGTCAGATCCGTACCTGGAGTAATTCCCGGGGGGAAGGGAAGCTCTTCTCCCTAGAACTGGTTGATGAAAGTGTGAGTATTTGTCAAGTGGGGAAATAGGAGGAGCCTAAGAAACAGAGGGCTCATCTCTGTGCAGGCCTATGAGATGAGGAACAGTAGTAGGCCAAAAATAAACATGATTGTTATTGTGGTTTTTCCTGTCTGTATTCTTTTGCTGGCTCTCTGTGTGCAAAGGGTTAAAGGTCTTAAATAAAATCCTTCGTTTTATTTTACTTTATTGAAAAGCAATTTTTTTTAATTATTGTTTTTAGATAGGCTTCACACCCAACAGGGGCCTGGAATTCATGACCCTGAGATCAAGAGTCACATGCTCGGGGAACCCAGCTGACTCATTCGATGGAGCATGTGACTCTTGATCTCGGTGTAGTGAGTTTGAGCCCCATGTTGGGTGTAGAGATGAGATTACTTAAAAAAAAAAAGCCACGTGCTGTACCAACTGAACCAACCAGGCACTTCTAAAATCCTTGATTTTAAAGGAAAGCATTTGTAGAAATTTATTTGTTTGTTTGTTTGGGGGTGGAGGCAGGTGAGCAAGGGGCTGAGAGAGAGAGAAGCGGGGCTCGTGCTCAACCAATGTTGGACTTGAACTCACGAACCGTGAGAACATGACCTGAGCTGAAGTCAGATGCTTAACAACTGAGCCACCCAGGGTGCCCAATAATTAGTTTTTTAAATGTATAAGCAGCCTCATGAGCAGTAGAAAGCAGAGACACTCTGTCTGACTTGTTAGCAGGCTAAGTTGAAGCCCTGAGAGGTGATGTCTGATTATGAGCAAAGTGTTGCTTTGGGCCACAGCAGAAGGCATACAGCAGCCACCTTGAAAAGTGAGTGGTTGGGGCGCCTGGGTGGCTCAGTCGGTTAAGCGGCCGACTTCGGCTCAGGTCATGATCTCACGGTCCGTGAGTTTGAGCCCCACGTCAGGCTCTGTGCTGACCGCTCAGAGCCTGGAGCCTGTTTGGGATTCTGTGTCTCCCTCTCTCTCTGACCCTCCCCCGTTCATGCTCGCTCGCTCTCTGTCTCAAAAATAAATAAACGTTAAAAAAAATTTTTTTTTTTTTAAAGAAAAGTGAGTGGTTTTGTGGGAGATGGATTCTGGCTGTGCAAACTCTATACTTAAACAAAACCAAAGCATGATGAAGAGACAAAACATCCAAGTTGTGGAATCTCTTGACAGTCTCGTTAGCTGTTTGTTAGTTTTATTTATAATTCCTAGTATGTACTTCACACATTGTTTTCAAACTGCTGCCTATTTCCTATTGGTTCAAACTTCTGCAAGGGCGGGGGAAAAATTGGTGGTTTGTTTTGGGTTTTTAGTTTTTGGAAGATGGAGTGATATCCCAAATGTATTGACTGTGTGATGGCAGAATCAGTATCAGAACCTAATTTTTTTTTTTTTTTTAATTTTTTTTTTTTTTCAACGTTTATTTATTTTTGGGACAGAGAGAGACAGAGCATGAACGGGGGAGGGGCAGAGAGAGAGGGAGACACAGAATCGGAAACAGGCTCCAGGCTCCGAGCCATCAGCCCAGAGCCTGACGCGGGGCTCGAACTCGCGGACCGCGAGATCGTGACCTGGCTGAAGTCGGACGCTTAACCGACTGCGCCACCCAGGCGCCCCCAGAACCTAATTTTTTACCAAATTATTGGTCTGATCTGTCAGTTGGCAAAAATTTGAGCCTTTTTTAAGTTTCTTATCCATCTATAGTTTGTTTTTGTTTTTTAAGTGAAGATTTTATTTTTAAGTAATCTCTACACCCAGCGTGGGGCTTAAATTCATAACCCCGAGATCAAGAGTCATGTGCTCCACCAACGAGCCAGCTGGGTGTCCCCATCTACAGTATTTTGACTGACGGAAAAGTAAAGTGAAAATCAAATCACAAGCAACTTGAAAACGTGACTTATTGTAACATTTTGACAGTGACTCCCGAATATATCCATCCCTCGCTTGGCGCCAACGTGAGGGCAGCTGGTGATTCATTTGGCTCATCACGCTTCCTTATGGGCTTCATTCGTGTCAGTGTTCAAAATTTGTTTTTATTTCTGTTGTCAGAATATTAAAATCACTAGGTTCATTGTGGGTTTTTTTGTTTTGCCTTGTTTTTAGGGTTCTAATTTGAGGTTCATAAAGCACCGTAACAGGATCAGCTAGTTAAACCCAAGTTGTTGGCTGGGGTTAATAGCTTGAATGTGTGACCACAAAATACGTGTTCCTGGGGCATCTGTAGACCTCTCACACATCCCATTTGTGCTTGTGTTACTGCTTAAAGATGTCATTTTGACACCACGGTGTCCTGCTTTTCAGTGGTAAAACTTGATGGACACAATTCTAACCGGTTCTTGCTTGTTTCTGCAGGGTGAAATCAGAGCTACTGCTTTCAACGAGCAAGTGGACAAGTTTTTTCCCCTTATTGACATGAACAAGGTATGGTGGTGTCGCGTTGAGAACTGAAACAGTTGAGTGGCATGGGGGACTCTCGTCCTTCAGAGAACTGCGTAGTGGTAAGGAATTTGTGGTTTAATCTGATAGACTACCCATGTTCCACAGCTTGCCTCTTTTGCAGGTCTATTACATCTCTAAAGGCACCCTGAAGATTGCTAACAAACAGTTCACAGCTGTTAAAAATGACTATGAGATGACCTTCAATAATGAGACTTCCGTCATGCCCTGTGAAGATGGTCATCATTTACCAACAGTTCAGTTTGATTTCACAGCGATTGGTGACCTGGAGAATAAGTCTAAAGATTCTCTGATAGGTAAGTCTGCAAATGAGAGCAAAGAGAGTTGGGATTATTAGTTTTTGTTTGCAACATGTAAGGGAAATGTAAGACTTAAGTGCTCGCCATTCAACCTTGGATCATGCTGTAATGGAGCTTTGACCGTTTTTTGCTAACACATTGTGCCTGTATTTTAGACATAATTGGGATCTGCAAGAGCTATGAAGATGCCACCAAAATCACAGTGAAATCTAACAACAGAGAAGTTTCGAAGAGAGACATCTATTTGATGGACATGTCAGGGAAAGTGGTGACCGCTACTCTGTGGGGAGAAGATGTAAGCATTTGTACTGAGCAGTCAGAGCGTGTGCAGAAGTCAGAGATGTAGAGAGCTGGGTGGCTGTCTTGTCTTAAGAGTTGTGGGTTATGCTAAGAGAAATTAGAGGAAGACAAATATCATATGATTTCACTCATATGAGGATTTTTTTTTTTTTTTTTTAACGTTTATTTATTTTTGAGACAGAGAGAGACAGAGCATGAATGGGGGAGGGTCAGAGAGAGAGGGAGACACAGAATCGGAAGCAGGCTCCAGGCTCTGAGCCATCAGCCCAGAGCCCGACGCGGGGCTTGAACTCACGGACCGCGAGATCGTGACCTGGGCTGAAGTCGGACGCTTAACCGACTGAGCCACCCAGGCGCCCCACTCATATGAGGATTTTAAGAGACAAAACAGATGAACATAAGGGAAGGGAAACAAAAATAATATAAAAACAGGGAGGGGGACAAAAACAGAAGAGACTCTTAAATATGGAAAACAGAGGGTTACTGGAGGGGTTGTGGGAGGGGGGATGGGCTAAATGGGGAAGGGGCACTAAGGAATCTACTCCTGAAATCATTGTTGCACCATACGCTAACTAATTTGGATGTAAATTTAAAAAAATAAAATAAAAAAAAAAAAAGAGTTGTGGGGCCTTGGCCATGTAGGCCCTTCCTAATGAAGGATTGAGCTGTCTAGGGAATATTTGAAATTCTTTATTTGATTTACTTTTGTGAGGTATGCTATGATTCAAGTTTTATACAGAGAGGTGATCTTACTTCTAATCCTAGATTAGTTTTAATGTATCTTTGAACAGATTCCTGTGAGTGAGGTTAACTTGGATAGATTCCATGTACTATTTTATTGCATTTATTCTACTATTGACTGTGTTCCTTGTTTTCTATAAAAATGTTCTGTGTGTTCTTCCTGACAGTGACACCTGTTCACTGTATTTGATTGGTGTTTTTGTTGTTACCCAGGCTGATAGATTTGATGGTTCTAGACAACCTGTGATGGCTATCAAAGGAGCCAGAGTTTCTGATTTTGGTGGACGGAGCCTCTCTGTACTGTCTTCAAGCACGGTCATTGTGAATCCTGACATCCCGGAGGCCTATAAGCTTCGTGGATGGTAGGTATTTGGGGGCTAAACCAAGGGGTCATTTGAGCCTGGCCTTTGAGAAGAAGTGGCTCTTTTGGTTCTTATGATCAGTATGTGAGCTGTCTGCAGAACAGAGGGCTGTGTTACCGAATGGAGCAGTTCCTATATTTCTCGGAGGCGTTATGCCTTCTGAGAGGATGGCTTTAAAGCCCTTAAACTGACAAGCCTGTAATCCCATGACAAACCCAGAGATTCCGGAGGAGGCAGTTAGCATTTATGTGCCACATGCTGACCTTTATCCTGCCAAAGTAGGGTGGGGCCAGGCTGTTCCAGCCGGGACCCGAGGGACCGTAAGCTAGAGCCAGCTTTCTTTCCTAGGTTTAAAGCTGTGGGCTTCTGTGGTGTGGGCATAGAGTGTACTTCCCTGTTCTGTCCAGTTGTTGGTGCTGAGCACATCTTCCGGTGTGTTCACTGGACTCTGATAAAGTGCAATGGAAACAGTGGGCTCTTGTTGGCACTGCATTGTTATTCCCAGGCACTTGGATGAGAGCCTGTTAAGATCGCACTATATCTGGCGTTTTAGGGTGTTAAAACTCTGCCTTTAAAGAGCACTTCAAACTGAAACATAGTTTGCAAGAATTGATGTGGTTAGGGAAAAACACTTTAGCTTGAGCTTAAATAATTTGTGTAGCTGTAGTCCCAGGGGATTGTATCGGTTTCCACCTATGTCTTAGCGTTTTAGTGATTAAAGAATTCGCTCCTGTGACATACTTCTCACTTTTATTTTGAGTGTAATGTGAACCAGTAGTAGCACTAGTGTTTGAGTAGTTTCATGAAACATCTACTAGAGTGTTCGTGACACTTAAGCCAGCCTCCTGAGTATGGTCCACACGTATCTATATTTAACTAATCTGGTAGCTGGCATTGCATTATAAGGCAGGTCCCGCTCATAGTCTGACCAGAAATAACCACAGCTGTGGTCTGTCCTTCTCGCTTGATTTTCTTTCAGGCTCTAGAGCTTGACCCCAGGTTAATGGCATGCCCACATTAAGGTCTTCATATTTTACTTGTCAGTAACAGTGATCCTGGTCAACATAAAAAGACATGGCTGTCTCCAGAATAAAATAACCTGCCGTTGATCAAAGAGAAGTTCACTGCACACACCCCACCTAGGCATGGGTTGGAGAGGTTTGATCTTGGTTGTAACAATGTGGAAGGGTTTTTGTTGTTTTCTTTTTTTTTTTTCCAATGTGGAATTTTTTTATTGTAAGAAGGGCTGCTTCAGTCTTTGCTCTGTTGATTCCTGATGAGCTATCTTTGGTGGCAAATGTCTCCTTGGAGTTTTTGAAACCGTAAACTGGTGTAGATAGTGGTGAAACGGATTTATGGACCTTGCTGTGCTTCTGTGACGGATTTAGCCGCTTCCCTGACAGAATGTGAAGGCAATTGTCTGCAGCTTAGGGCAGCACCCATTCTGTGACATGGTCCCTTTTTAAGGAGCCTGCTCTCTCTGTGGTTATCTTTCACTTATCCTCCTTTTAGATGACATTGGCATGTTTTTAATCTCAGACTGACTCCTCCCTCCCCCAAGTATGTTTCTGAGCTGTTTTCCTTCATGTCAGCTGATATGTGTTCAGGAAATATAATCAGTTTTAATCATAATGCAACACAAATTAATGTTAATTTTAATATTGGCATAGGTAGAACCTCACTAAGATAAATCTACGAGAAAATAGATAATATCTTAAATTACTTCGGGTTACGTAATCTTTAGATTCTCTGTCAGGCTTATAAGATCTTTTACCATGAAATTTTTTTTTTTGCCACAAAAAACGTGACAGTCAATATGCTGACTGTCACTTTCTATACTGATACAGTTCAGTGATGATAAAAATGTGGCTACTTGCTGAGAATGAGCATCAGTAGCCTAAAGAACTGTGTATAACAGATGCTAATTTAAGAAAAGGTTCTGTGATATTCTGGCACTGTCTTTCTTGACCACTGGGGGGCATCAGAGCAATTGAGATGAAAAGAGGTCATTCACTTCCTGCAGTTGGCTTAAGATACAAGGAGGAACATAATCATTTCAGCCCATGTGACCACGACCTATGAATGTAGGACAGGTGGGGGGGCTAGTGAATAGCCTCTGATGTCTAGAAACAAGTAGCATATTCAATAAGTATAATAAAGTACCTGTTGTTCTTTGTTTATTTTTCAGGTTTGACTCTGAAGGACAAGCCTTAGATGGTGTTTCCATCTCTGATCTAAAGAGTGGAGGAACAGGAGGTAGCAACACCAACTGGAAAACTCTGTATGAGGTTAAATCAGAGAACCTAGGCCATGGTGACAAGGTACATTCCTAACTGTCTTCACAAAAGCATATAGAGTGTGCAGAAGGATGAGTTTTCCAACCTGATTTCTGGTACCACCTGTCAGACGTTCATTCAGAGCTGTGATTCTTACCTGGAGGTCTGACCAGAGCATGGCATGACAGTTGAGAATCACCAGAGTGAGGGAGTCGTGCTTACTAATAGGCTATGTCATATCCCTCAGATATCCTGTGGCAGAAAAACATTAGAAACTGACTTAGAGAGTTAATTCTTAGAGGGATCCTGATGAAGTGGTAATAACTTCGGGTCTATGTTTGTTTTTGCTGATTGTTCCTGCAAGTTGAAGTGCCCACACACCAAGAAGGTAGGTTTTGAGGTTATAGCTAACACTGAGCATTAGTCAGGCTCAGGGTCAGACATCAGGCAGTTCACACGTGCCCTCACTGGCTGTACAGTATTAAACTCTCACGGGCTGAGATTTTGCCACTGTTCTCTGATGGGAATCGGCTCTGGTATTTGACTTCAGTTGCAGCTTCCTTTCAATGTTTGTATGTAATGACTCTCTTCCTGTCTTGATCTAAACCTGTATTCTGCCAGCAGTTCATTATTTAAGTCATTTATTTCTCCTTTATGCTCCCCAAAAGAGCAATTCCTACTTTTATTGTTTTCATATTATATAATACAGTTTTTATTCCTTTCCCCCTCGTTTCACTATACTCCCTTATCCCTCATTGTCGTCAACAGCATCTGATGATGCTGTCATATGGCATCTTGAGACTTAAACATTAGACAGATAGGTATTGTCTTGTCATAGGAACAGCCACTCTTCAGGTTCTCTTTTCCCAATTTTCTTCTTAGATCTACAGGTAGACTGTGTGTAATAAATCAGGCCTGTGGGCACCTGGCTGGCTCAATCAGAAGAGCAGGTGACTCTTGATCTTGGGTCCTACATTGGGTGTAGAGATTACTTTAAAAAAAAAAGAAAGAAAAAGAAATCAGGGATGCTTGGGTGGCTCGGTCAGTTAAGCATCTGATTCTTGATATCAGCTCAGGTCATGATCTTACGGTTGTGGGACTGAGCCCACGTTGCGCTCTGTGCTCATAGCACATAACCTGCTTGGGATTCTCTCTCTCTCCTTCCCTCTCTGCCCCTCCCTCTCTCTCTGCCTCTCTCTCCCTCCCTCCCTCCCTCCCTTCCTCCCAGTAAGTAAACATTAAAAAGAAGAAGAGGAAGAAGAAAAGAAAAATCATGCCTGGAGAGTACCCATTTGTACCTAA